CGAGATCGGGACCTGCAGTCATTATGTTTGCAGGAGGGGAGCCAGGAGGATTATAGTTTGCGTCATCAAGAGGTGCAAATATATAAGTCGGTTCGGCATATTCAACTGCAGCGCTCGTGTCGTAGGAGATATATTGCCCAAAAAATGTGATCTTGCAAGTAAAAATAAAGCCGGGTTAATTAAGAGACCCTGACGCTGTGCTACCAAAACACGACCAAATATGATTTAGATCGACGCAAAGTCTTACCATGTGTGAAGTTTTACGAACACTTTTATAAATGGGGGTTTTATTGTCGTTGATTATAAGATTTGTTCCATACCTCGTCACAATGTTCGACACACATCTTGGCAGTGGAAATACATCTGCTGCTAATTGATCAGTACAGCTTGCCTTCACGGCAGTACCTGGCAATACTCCATCGGTTGGTGTTTTCAAAGGCTGGCGATTTCCATCAACAAAGTTTGCATTGGGCAAGTCAACACGAAGATATTTGTCATTCGTTGCACCAGCGGTAGGAAACAGCTTGTTGTTACCTGTACCGTCAATCGAACGATATTCGATAGAGGCGACAAACTTGCAGGAGAGAAGCAGGCATAGGAACGCAAGGTAAATTTGAATAAATGAAGTTATGGCACAAGAAGAATGTTTGTGCGAATGTTTGTACTTTGCCATGGATGAAATATGCAGAAAGAGATGAAATTTATATAATGCAGAAACACAGAATGGAAGTAATTGTTTAGCTACAGAATTAGTTTAGGTAAGGTATAATAGATAGATATCAATAGCGAGCAAGAATGCTACTGGAATATCTATGACGTTAATAAGGGTTTACTTTTACTTTAATCGATTTGATGCATCTCGTCTACTCTTAGGGAAAGAGAGTCTAAGATTGACGGAGGGTAAAATTGTACTAAATATACACATCCAGATGCTGCGCAAGTGTGACATACCTTTTAGGCACAACAAATCCATAATAGTCAGTATGAAGACAAACAACAAGGTTAAGGCCGATGCATATTGTATAACTGATTCCGACAAGTTATTTTCTAACTCCGAAATTTTGCCTTTATCGATCACATCAGGCCTCGTCTTAACAATGTTGTGTGACTTCGGAGTATTTGGGAACATGTAAATTCGGAGAAAAGAAGCACCGATTACGAATGACCAGACTTGTAATTGTTGATGCCGCAATTATTAAATAGCTTAAAAAGGATAGTGTGTCTGCAGCCAGAGTACTTTAGGAAAACACATTGTATAAGCCTGGCGTCTACGTTTATGTTCTATTATTAGATGTAATATATTACGTAACTTGAATTACAAGAAATTTCTTAATAGAAAACGGGTCCCTCGACTTTACATGCATGCCAGTCGATTAGATCGCGAAATCAAGTCATACTAGCAGATAATTTATCTGGTTGACATTTTATTATCTCCGGTGACACGGAAGAGAATGCCTTGAACCACATGTTATACAGACGCCACATCCTGAAAGATTTTTCTGTTACTTGGTTTCACAGTTTCTCTAAGACGTCCAAAGGCTTTCAATTGGATCAAAGCACATCAAGGGCAATCAAACGACGTAATTCTAGTTGTTTGTTTGTTGCATTAACGGTTTGCGTAGCCACAATGTCTATAGTCACCAGTCTTGCATATTTAAACGTTAATTTTGATGTTCATAAGACGAAACTCATAAGCATCATTACATCATAATCACGATAACGACAGTTTCAGTTGAAAATTCAATAAAAATGGCTTGGAGAGGTGGGGAAAAAAGCAATACTTATTTAAGATATCACCCTAATTTAATAGCGATAATAATAAGGTTTGTTAATGTTAACTTTAATTTACCCTCGTTCTAAAAATAGTTAAGTGTATAACATTAGTGAAACAAGAGAAGTGTAGTAGATAATATAGTAATAGTAACAATTTCAAATAGATAACCACGATAACTGTCCAAATGCATAAAAGCTCACATTTTTAATTACTGCTTTGATGATAGTTCTTCTCCTTGTAAGATCGTAATTAACAATTTTCTTAACCTTAAGTTTGAAATATTTTAACAAACACCCGTTCGTAACAACAACATAAATACCCTTAGCTTTTCGTTACAGAACACGACGTACAGGAGCTGTTAATTTATGTTATTGCAAGTCAGATGTGTATGTAAAAATCGCAGGAGTTTCTTGTAGCTCTCGCTGTCCTTTTATCTTAGTCATACGCACTGCTCATTCAAACATACTCGACATTAACTAAATTAAGACTTTGAGAGACAGAATTGTTAAGCTATCTACTATTAGCATTAATACTAATACCGCTCGCTGTGAAATCAAACGTCGTCATTCCGTAACAAAAAAATAGTCATAAATAGGCAAGCATCCGAACTTTGGAACTGAGACCTAATTCCGATATTCTGAGCTCAAGACATGAAGTTTTCATCTTCTAATGATTAGTCGGTTTGAAAGTTACATTCTTTGAACATGATATACTCTTTCTATGATTCTTCTGATGTCGTATGACATTTCTTGTTCTATTGAAAAATAACGGATAAGTTTCATGACATTCTCTCAAGAAACAAATTAATAAAATATGGACAAGCATCGGTACCTAAATCGTAGACTAACCTGTATTAGTATGGGATCTTTGATTATCCACACGTGATTTTATATCAATACAGTCGATACTTCATTCTTTACATCACTTTCCCATTTTACACGAAAAGAATGTCACGTCTTCATTCTCGCATAATCTCTCTTCCGTCTGTGTGCACCATAATGCAATTCAAACAATCTATAGCCACGCAACTATCCACCATCACAGGCCATCCGGAAACGCAGTTGATTGAAATGATTGAAAGACCAAAAAATAAAGACTACGGGCAATTTTCAATAGCAGTGTATAAATTGATGAAAAATGGAATGCGAAAGAAGAGGAAACTGGATGAAACAAAAAGTGTGAATCTTGAAGAAAATTTAATAGCGGGAGAAGGGAAAGAAAGGAAAGCCGCGGATGAGTTATGTAAAGAACTAGCCGAAAAAGTGGGTAATGATTGATCCACGATCAAATTGTTAAGGCCGTATTCGTTTAACACATCTGGCGTTATCCTACCCTAGTTTCAAAGTTCTCCAACAATATCGAGTACAACGCCAATAGGTCCATATCTCAACTTCCACGTTCAAAGACCTGTATTCATCCAACATGTTCTTAACGAGGTTTTCGGTCAGAAAAATCTTTACGGAACATTCAAATCTCATGGACAAGGAAGAACCGTCGTGATCGATTTTAGCTCACCCAACATCGCAAAACCATTTCATAGTGGTCATCTGAAAAGCACTATTCTCGGAAATTTTGTGAAAAGGATACATGATGCTTTGGGATACAAGACTGTCGCTATAAATTATTTAGGAGATTGGGGCAAACAATATGGTAAGGAAGTAAGATTGGAAAGGAAAAAGGAAATGGTGGGTTTTATACAGTTTGGTTATTCAATAACATCTGTTATTAAACATAATCTTAATAACCAGTCTGTTAAATTATAGACAATATGAATCACCATTATAACTTATATATTGGTAGGATTATTGGCTGTTGGATTCAACAAGTATGGATCGCATGACGAGTTGGACCAAGACTCTATCAAGCATCTTTATGATGTATATGTGAAAATAAGCCAGGAAGCAAAGCACAATCCTGTGATTGATCAGGAAGCAAATAATTATATCAAGAGAATGGAGGATGGTAAGTTTATGCAAATTTGACTAGCTACGTATATAACTAGTGTCCTAGATACTTGCTATCAATGGGTGATAGCTATACAATTCGTTATGTACAATTCCCAGTCATATCAAACAAAAAAAAATTACAATTCTCTCATAGGGGACGAATCAGTGCTCAGCCTATGGCGAAAATTCAGAGATCTAAGCATCAAAGAATACAAATCAATGTACAAGAGATTAAACATTGAATTCACTTCATACTCGGGTGAATCTGAAACTCAACCTCTCATTCCTCAAGTTGAACGCCTTCTTACTACCAAGAATCTTCTATCCACCCAAGACGACGGTATATGCACAATCGATCTCTCTGAATACAATCTCGGTACTCCACAGCTCAAACGCATAGATGAGACATCTGTATACCTCCTTCGTGACATTGTTGCAGCCATACAACGCAAACAGTTGTATAACTTTGATCGAATGTTCTACATTGTTGGGATGAGCCAACAAAATCATTTTCAGAGATTGTTTAAAATTCTCGAGTTGACACAAAGTGGGGAGGGCGAGGATGGGGGGAAATGGGCAGAGAAATTGGAACACGTCGGCTTTGGGATGATTCGAGGAGTGTCGACGCGACATGGCACAGCAGTGTTTTTGAAAGATATATTGGATACTGCCAAGCAACGCATGTTAGATATTATGATGGGAAATAAAGAAAAGTATCAAGATATCATTAATAGTGGGCCTAGTCGACAGGTTCAGAAAGCGGATGGTAGTCAGTTTATAGACAATTCGTCCTTTGATGATGACCAAACTGCATTAAGTGATGAGAATAGTCAGATCGATCTCATTGGATTGTATGGAAAGGAAGCAGCTGATAGGATAGCTGATATTGTTGGAATATCAGCAATTGTAATACATGATTTTACGAGAGATAGATATAAAGACTATACTTTTGATTGGAAGAAAACTGTAGATGCTCATGGGCATAATGGTGTCTATTTACAATATGCACATGCAAGGCTGAGCAGGTAAGAACGTAAACGGGTGATGGCAAATAGAATAGCGGGTGAGCACATTTGAAATTTACATTACTAACTTTTACCACTTATCTATTTTCCAATAAGTATTGAAGAAAAAGCAGGCGTTAAACTAAATCCCAGGGCTGATCTTGAAACTCTTCAAGAATCAGAGGCTTTTGATTTGGCCTACCAAATATCACTTTACCCTGAAATAGTTCTCCAATCATACAAAGATTTCCAACCATATGTTATTGTAAACTATCTTTTCAATCTATCTCAAAGTATATCTCACGCTCTTAGGACATTGAGGGTAAAGGGTATGGACCCTGAAGTAGCGGAACCGCGATTATTGTTATTTTGGTGTGCTAGAGTGACCTTGGGGAACGGATTGAATCTGTTGGGATTGACTCCATTAGAGAAGATGTAAAATTAATCATTGAACTTTGGAAAACTATTATACTTAGTATTAGAGTTGAAGTAAAAAAAAAAACATTGTCAAATTGGAAGAATTGGCAAATCATATCCGATATCTATTTAAATTAATGTAGTAGAGTAGTATTGAAAATTTTCTGATGCATGGTATAGAATCGTTATCCAAAAGCAGGAAAAAGGTACGAGTATAAACATGTCAGCAAAATAATTCTTGCTATTCTTTGATCACTAAGCTTTAAATGGGACGCTCAATATCGCTAGTGTTGTAACCCATTATAAAGTATAGAGGGCTGATCCTTTCAAGGCGTTTATCGTCGTCAACAACAAAAGTAAAGAGCTCGAGTTTTAAATATACAGTACTTTAATGGATTTCCAATTAGGTTTAAGTTTATATGACAATGAAACTCAATTGAGTTGATGTACAAACAATCTGTGTCTTATTAAAGATTTGTTAAAATTGAGATCGTTTAATACGTCTCAGAAATAGTGTATAGTTTACTTAATAGTTCCGTTTACGAAGCATCTATTTATATACTTGTTAGTCTCTGCGTGCTTAAACGTCTACGAATTAATAAATATTGTTGAAAATTGTCTATATCATAAAGTTACGCGTCACTTTTGCACCTCGGAACTCGTGACCCGATATAAGAAAAAATACCATAATGCAAGTTCTAATTACAGAAATGACAACTACGCCGAAATACTGATTCTGCACTTTCCTCCAGAAATTCAGCGAGTCCGTTTATCCATTATTGCGCTTCTCAATATCTTGGCGAAAATGTGGTTTGTTATTACGTCCAGTCTGATCATCCGTTTAAAATTAAGCCGAGCCGTGTTTTATAAAATAAATGATTCTATCATTCCGTCAATGCGGAAAACGTGAATCACTCGAAAGGGCTCAACAAAGATCGAACAAATAGATTAAACATTAGAGGTCTTATGTACGTAGACTGTGGGGGTCAGATTATTTTATTATATTCAATATATACATTATTGATATTTACAACATTCAATGTGGCAGTAAGACATGATACTCTATTCAATTACTATTCACTGACCAATCCTACACTTTCTTTCAAATTCCTCTGCAACTTCCTCGGCTCTGGAAACAACAATCTCTGGCACTCCGGCCATTCTAGCCACGTTCAGTCCATATGATCTCGGGCAAACACCGTTTATCAGCTTATATAAAAACGTCACCCGCCGCTCTTCCTCATTGACTTCACACTGCATATGCATTAATTTTACAGCCTTGTCCGATTTAAACTCATCGGCCAGTCTGACGTAGTGAGTCGAGAACAATCCAACACATTTAGTCTCCCTCACAAGGTGAGTTAATACAGAATAGGCAATGGCATATCCATCATGTGTCGATGTTCCACGACCAAGTTCATCAAGAATGACCATTGAGCGGTGAGTGGCTTCGTTAAGAATTTTTGCCGTTTCAATTGATTCGACCATAAAGGTTGATTGTCCACTAAGAATGCGGTCGTTTGCTCCGATGCGGGTGAAAATGCGGTCAAAAGGCGTCAGTGTGCAAGAAGATGCCGGAACGTAGCAGCCGAGTTGAGCCATTATTATTGCTACACAAGTCTATTCAAACGGATGGACAATTAAGCATAAAGAATAGGAATATGAGATATCAAATAACAGTTACATATCAATACTAGTTAGTTGTGTTCTTACCTGTCTCAGTAAGGTCGACTTCCCGCCCATGTTGGGTCCTGTTAACAAAATCATATTGGATTCATCGCTACCTAGTGAGATATTGTTAGGGATGAAATCGTTTGCGATTCTGTTATGAAATTAAATAGAGAGTATGAGTAATGTTAATAGAGGAATAGAGGAAGAAACAATGACATTCAATTCTAAATATTACCTCGGAGTAATACATGGATGTCGGAGATTTTCAAATTTGATAAAGTTCTTGTCAGTTTCAACGAACTGCGGCATACATCTTGTTGCTATCGTTGGTGACATTCGTATTAGTGTCATATCAACACAAACATGCCGAGGCAATAACAATCGATATGTACAACGCTACCCAGTTTTCATTTCACTTACCACCAAGCGCTAGCGAACACTTAGCTAAACTCATTAAACAATCTATCTCCGCCACAATTTTCACGGCTTGTAACCATTCTGTATACGATCCATCGAATCTCTCATATAATCTATCACGAACCAGACGGAGAACGGATGATTGGATTTCACGAGATTCTTGAAGCTCACGAATTAGTTTTTGTAGATGAGGAGTCCAATAACGATTTACGGTCTGTATGGAAGAGCAATCGAATGTAAACAACGAATAATGTGTTAAAGCTAAATTATTACGCAGTCACTTAGATCAAGAACATACAAACCTTTGTACTAGTTAATTTTGTCCACTCGTCGGGAACTTTAACATTGCCCGGAACCTCAAGCTGGTATATCTCTTTCCCAACATCCTTGTATTTTGCAGTCACCCTATAAACGAAAAAGAAAAGCAGACTTAATATAAACTTTGCTTCCGTTTGTCATGTTTGATTAAATTGTTGTTTCCAACATGCAAATCTCACAATCCACCCTGTAATGTAACACTTCTCCCCTAAACGCTCAATCTCCAGCATGTGTACTCACCCAAGTTTTTTCGAAACCGTCATGCGATATCGTTCAAGTTCTTCTTCAATTGACCTCATTTTATTTCGACTTTTGTCGTAATCATCATACGCACCATCTCGTGGCGTTATAAATCCGTTTGCCTTAGCATCTTTATATTCAAACACCCCCCGGAAATATTCGAGTTTTGTCCTTAAATCAGGCATAGAGGAAACAAGATAAAGTAATCGAGACGAAGAACCAATTTTTGATTGGTACGACGGAGTTGTGAGAACGTGCAAGCTGTTTACAACATTTTCAAAGCTTTCCAACATTCCCACAAATTCTCCCACTTTACATCCTCGGGCATGGACCCTGCTTATAATTCTTTCTAAATCGGTAAGTTCTCTGCCCCACGATTCCACCCAGGTTCTTAATTCATGTTCTCTGATAAATACTTCTACACCGTCTTGTCTTTCTTTGATTTCATCAATCTTCCATAGGGGCTGACAGGTCCACTTTCGCAATGTTCTTTTTCCAAACGCGGTTGTGCAATGATCTATTAATTCAAATAATGTCCCCGCAGTGCTTCCATCATAACTGTTGGTGAATACTTCGAGATTCGACAGTGTACGGCTGTCAAGAAGGAGGTACGAAGGGTGTAGAGGAGTGTAATAAGAAAAGTTGGCAAGCGAAAGAAGAGCACGTTCCAGTTGCAATGAACGCAGATAATACGTTAGACCACCAAGGGCTGAAAGAAGATGTGGTGATGTGTTGCTTGAAGTTAGAATAGGAGGAAGTTCATTGGTTTCGTTGGATTCAGCCGCGTCATTACTACTATCGCTATTTTCACGAGCACCCTCACGCTCGTCAACCTTTTTCTTAAAATACTGTCCAATTGTCAACTCTCTTATCGTATCTTCTGCACTCCAGAACTCTGTACCACTCTTTATCCCGTTCAAAATTGGCTCGTCTAGACAGTTCTTCAAAATCTTCATTGACTTTTGACTGAGCAACCCTTTTTCGAATACAATTTCCTTTGGCTTCACCTGCACAATTAGCGTTTCGAATTGTGATCTATCGGCATCATCCGTAAAAGAGGAAAAGTGAAATGAGGCCGTGGAAGTGTCGACGAAAACAATGCCAAACGTCGGGCAAGAGTCAGCAGAAGAAAAGTATTCCTTTATTGACATGCAGTAGGTAGAATGCGGGGTTGAAAGCATCGAAGGGTCGACCAACGTGCCAGCAGTTAAGATTGTGGTTAATTCACGTCGAATTATTTTTTCGGGTTGACTCGAAGTTGATGAAGCAGTTGATTTGGAAGTGGGTTTACTCGATTTCTCTCGCATTTCTTTCGCAAGGGCAGTCTCCATCTGATCTACCCTGGCAACCTTATACCCCAAGGCGATAAATTTGCCTGCCCAATGTTCGAAACTCATTTCTGGTACTCCCACCATTCGCATGTTAACCCTATCCGTCAGCTTCAAGTCGAACTCTTTATGACCAATGTCTGCATCTTTCTCGTACAGCTCGTAAAACTTTCCCTTCTTGAAGAATACGACGGTATCCCAGTGTGTGCTCTTGATTTCCCAGAATTGTTTTTCAAATGGTGTAAACTTCTTCCAGGCGTTGGGAGGAATGTAGAGCGTGCGCGAGTCGTAGTTGGGTGAGTTTTCTGGATTGCCCTCGGTGTCACGAATATCGAGAAGCCAAGCATAACGCTCTTCATTTTTGGATTTAAAGTCCGTTTGCCGTTGTTTTTGACGTTCCTTTTTACGATCTTGTGGAGATAGGACGGCAGTGCTAGTTGTTGGAGATGAAGAGGAGGTTGTTTTGGTCGGAGGCGATGATGAGCCTTTGGAGAAGGCAAAATCTTGCAAGCGAGAGTCGTTATTAATGCTGGATGAAGTGGATATTGAGGAGGTTGATGTGTTGGACCGTTTTGGTGTGCGGGCGGGTGTTGTTACAGCAGACTTGCCTTTCTTTGAGGTAGAGGGCGGCGAAGATTTTACTGGACTGGAGGAAGGTGTAGTTGGAGGAGAGTCGCCCGAGTCATCTTGGTATTCATCATCGTCTTTGTTCAACTCCTCTGATGATTCGTTTTCTGATTCGGATAGCATGTTTCTATAATCCGTAATCCGCTTTTTAAATGAACGGATTTGTTTTTTACGGAACGAGTACTTGCGAGGGGTTGCTGGATTGTCTATATCCATGACTTCTGGCGATACCGTTACGGAGTTGGAATCCAAAGAGACTCTTTGCTTTTTCTTCTGGCCGAGTTGATCGTCTGATGCACCTATGCAGAAAGTGTAGAGTATATCGCGGTTTATTATAAATATATAAATTCAACCATTCCGTGCTAGCCATACATCAAATCATCGACATGCAAACCCAGTCTCTTCACAACACAAACACATC